ATATATATATAATATATAATATTCTAATTGTTTATATATATATATATATATAAGCTCTTATACTAATAAAATGTCTCTCCATAATTGCTACAATATAGTTTACACAATACTTGCTGACAGATTGAGTGATCTACAATTGTCCATGTTTCCAAATGTTGGGATAGTACCAATTACTCGTTAACAGTGTGTGAAAGTTTAGCCACTGGTTGACATAAGGCACTGTCCATGTCTGCAGCATCCAATGATGAGCTTTGGATTGGACTGAATGACGTAAGGACAGAGGGGCTGTTTGACTGGAGTGACCACTCCACTGTCACCTTCACCAGCTGGGAGTATGGGAAACCTGCTGTGTCCACGGATGCAGACGACTGTGTTCTAATCAGGGGAGAGGTAAGATGCACCATGTGGATATGATGGTGTGTATAATTGGACACATCACAAATGAAGGGTGGCATCGTGGTTGTATCCATTCTTTAGAAAAGTTCTATTGATTTGTACAACAGATAGTAAAAAGTATTACCTCCCAGATTTGATATTAACTTGGGTGTACAACTTTTATCAGATTTACTGATGTTTTATTATTTCCAAATTGTTGGTAGGTATGAACTAAATTTCCAAAGTTGTGACTTGTAGAGATCTTTATTACAGTTTGTGAGAAGTTAGGTTCTTAGGTTTGGGTTCTTAAATAAAAAACAAATAAAAAAAACACATGTTTTGCTATTCTTAGTTTTTTAACCAAAATACGTACAAGAAAAAGAGAAAACATTAGGAATATAAGTATGTATGATTTATCCATCCAGTACATGCAGTCTACAGGTATGCAAGTGTTTTACGGTGTTTCCTTCTTGCAGAATGGAAACTGGGCAGATCGCTCGTGTGATGAGAATCATGGATTCATCTGTATGAAGCAGAGCGTCACTGAACGCCCCACAGATGAAGTAGAATTGGATGTCGGCTGCAAAGCTGTGAGTTTGCATATAATCCATGAAAAAAGCATCTGGCCTTCAGAAACATCTGGATCATCAGGGTCAGGGTGCAAGATTAAAACCCAGAAAGTATCTAGTTCAGTAACACATTCAGTTGGAAAAGAGCGTGTAGATCCAAGCACTGTAGATTCAGCATAGGCAGCAATGCAACTTTAGATATAACTTTAGACTCTGCAGATAAATGTCTTTTGTATTTTAACATAACTTCTCAGTTCTAATCACTGCTCTGTTTCCTACAGGGTTGGAAAAGGCATGGTTCCTTCTGCTACTTTGTAGGAGTAGAGACAAAGACATTTGATGCAGCCAAAGAGGACTGCAAGGCCTCAGGATCCTACTTAGCCGATGTTTCAAATAGGTAAGAACATTTGTGTTTAATCATTATTCTTGTTGATGTTTGTTATTGTTATTCTTGACACTGCAACGACTGTGTATTATTCACATAACATATAAGAACTTATGTACTTCTTTCCAGGGTGGATAATGCATTCCTTGTCAGCTTGGTGGGGTTGAGACCAGAAAAATACTTCTGGCTAGGCCTCTCAAACCAGCAAAACATTGATGAATTTGTGTGGACCAACACAGACTCTGTGAGATTCACTCACTGGAACACTGAAATGCCAGGTATGGAGATTAAATTCTAATTGTTTAAATTAGGGGCTTATAAACAGCAGATCCACAATTTACAATCTGACTGTTTTCCCCCTCAACAACTCCAGGTTCCCAACAGGGCTGTGTAGCCATGACAACTGGGATTTTGGCTGGACTCTGGGATCTGCTGCCTTGCACAAACAATGAGAAATACATCTGCAAGCATATGGCAGAGGGAGCAGCTCCGACCGTTCCACTACCGACTCAGACTCCTCCAAAGTGTGCGGACGGTTGGTTGCGAGTGGGATCAAGAAACTTCTGCTCTAAGGTACCTTAGAGGTCAACCACCGCTAAACACAATTAAAACACATTACCTGCAAACACCAAGAACCACTCAAGCTGCCCAGTGTCCTGCCACAGTCACCATAGCATATTCAACAGTTACAGTACTACAGGCAATACGTATAAGGCAAACATGTCAAGTGTGGACAAATTTAAACAGTAGTATTTAATATCTTGACTACAGGTAGCAACCTGCAAAATAAATAAGATTTTTGCACAGGTTTGATTGTGTGGATGCTTTCTTCATTGAGTTTGATAGTCTATAGCTCCAGCACCTCAGTTAAGTTTGATACCTGATGAGCAGTGTTTTTTCCTCTAAATGACATACTGTACAAATCTGGGGCTAAATAAATGAATAGATAAATAAAATATATTCAACCCAGCAAAGCTATGGGTGTACAGATCTAATCTACCTTAATCAGATCTTCACTTCTTGTCTTGTATTCAAGTTTTTTACAGGGCCTCGAGCAAATGAGAAGACCTGGTACGAGGCCAGGGATTACTGCAGGGCCATCGGAGGAGACCTGCTCAGCATCCATAGCTCTTCTGAGCTCATTCTGGGACGGTATGAGCTACTTAAATACACTCCTGTAAAAAACAAAAACAAACATAATTCTCGCAGTATCAGAGATGGCACCCATTCATAAAAAGTATTAATAGACAGCACTGTAGGTAAGAAGATTGTAAAACACCAAAACTGGTACATAGAGGCAAACACAAGTTGTATGTATTAATAAATTCTGTTCAAAACAGATCCAACATGCTGGAAGGCATTTCACACCATGTTTATATTTTCACACACTGAAATCTTAAGCTTTAGTAGTGAACATCACACTTGCTGGCACCTCTTCTTTGCAATGGCTCGTTCAACTTCACAATCTTTGCTGTAGTTCTTTTTACTCAGTTATCTCTTGCCTCTAGATGGCAACAAAGATTACAGACCCTTTGGCTGCAGCTGGAAACAAAGGGTGCATACAGCAGAGCAATGAGACAGAGCAGTATTAGATAGCTGCAAAAAAAAAGCTCTTTGTTGGAGAATTCGGAAATATGGTTGGAGAGATTTATCAATCATATAATTCTGTGTACTGCAGACATGGAAAAGCCTGGATTGGACTACATATTCCTGACCCAAGCACTGGATATACATGGAGCGATGGATCCGCGGTTAGTTGACTGTGTTCTACTTTTTTACAACTAATTTAATAACCCATAATCATTCAGTGTAGGTATGTGTGTGAGTTTGTTTTAATCCATTTATTTATGTACTTATTTTTGTTGTTTCTTTTTGTGCACAGGTGAACTTCCTTCACTGGCAGGAAGGAGAGCCAAACAACCATAATAATGACGAATCTTGTGCTGAATTCAGAATTTATTCCTGGCATGATTCTGGGTCGTGGAACGATGTGAACTGTGAGAGTTACAATGACTGGATATGTCAGATCCGCACAGGTACGATTAGAACTGTGTACTGAATTCTTATCTTCTGTTTGATTATGAATTACAAAAATTATTTATTTTATATTTGGCCTGTAACCAGATATTTAACTATAGGCAAGATAGGATAAAATAAACTGTATTTCTGTTAGTTTATATTTTTCTTTTAAAATAAAAGACCATAAAAAAACCTGCAGACTGTAGAGGTAACAAATGAACAAATCAATTAAGTCAGGACAATCAAATGAGGCAACTTTCACAATAGCCAATCATCCAATTGGATGTACTGTACTGAAGCCATATTTATTATGTGCTTGCTTTGGGGGGAATTCCGTTTGATTTTCACCAAGCAAAACAGTTATTTAGCTGGACTGAGGATGAAGAAATTAACACTTGTTCTGGTCTTACAGGAGTCACTCCGAAACTACCTCCAAATGATACTGCCACAGGTAAGTTGACATTGTATAACCACACAAACCCACACACACCCAGGGTGACAAAAACATAACATTTTCCCACGGCTAATACTAATTATAATGAAAAGTAACTTAAAAGGTCCACTGTGTAACATGTAGGAGGATCTATTGGTAGAAATTCATACTGTGGATTTGTATAACAGTGTATAATAATCTGAAAATAATAATCGCTGCGATACCTTAGAATTAGCTGTTTCAGTGTTTGCTCTATGGAGGCCGCCATGTTGAGCCGGCATGTTTTTTTTTTGGAAAGTTTTGTGACAACCAACGCAAAACATGCTCCTACAGGCTTGGAACAGGAGGTTGAGGCGAGGGGGATGTAACCTGCAACTTCACCAATAGATGCCACTATATCCTGCACACTGATCTTTTAAAAATAAGCTGTAAAATGCATAAATTGTTACTATGTTTCTAAAACCTTTGCAGAGTATAACACCACTGCAGATGGTTGGCTCCAGTGGAGAGGGAAGCAGTATTATATAAACAGGCACCCAACGCCAATGGAGGATGCGCGCAACTTCTGTCAGCAGAGACATGGTGACTTGGTATCTATATCCAGTAAAGACGAAAATGTGTTCCTATGGAAACAGGTGGGTTATTTTCACATTCATATTAAAATCTTACAGATATGAAAGACAGTTTACTAATTACAAAAAGGTATAGACACTAAAAGTGTGTATTTTCTGTGTGTGTGTTTGTTCACAGATTTCCAGAAGCTATGGGTCCTATTATTTAGGTTTGTCAGTGGACCTTGATGGTTCATCTTGGTGAGTGGTATCAATGAATGCCATAAAATGCAATACAATGAATTACTGGTAATAGCTAGGACATCCTAGTTTGGTAGATTACTATCAATGCAACAGATCTGTCAGGTCATGTCACTCATAAACACATTTACAGCTATTTTAATGCTCCAGTTTTACTTCATAAGCAGTTTTTAGTTTTTTTTACTTGCTAGGCTTTTTTGTCAGCACATATTCTATTTGTTCTCTATTTATTCACTATGCAAAACAACAACAAGACAGATAAAAAAAAGTCTAATGTCAAGTGATTATTGTTTACATGATTACACATTATAATTCAACTAAACTGTGTGTGTTTTAAGGTGGATGGATGGTTCTCCAATTGGGTTACAAAGATGGGATGAAAATCAACCAAATTCTAACAGCTTTGATGAGAACTGTGTTACAATGACTTATTATATGGGTGAGTAATCTATAAAACATTAAACAAAGTATTAACCTTAGATATTAGATGTTCTGGATAAGATGAATATGCTGCTCTTAATAAAAAGATCTAAACTGCTGCTGGAGAAATGTTTTTCATTATATTTCTGTTACTTACAGGCTTTTGGAGAACTTCTAATTGTGGGCAAGAGCATCAGTTCATTTGTAAACGAGGAGGATCACCACCTGTCAACACCACTGTAGCCCCCACAGTTCCTCCTAAAGGTGGATGCTCATTCCCATGGACCAAATTCGACTCCAAGGTCAGAAATTACTGTTAACCTTCAAACCTTTAAACCTGAAAGAGCTTCAGTTTAGGTCCTCAGAGCAAAACCATTCTCTACCAATTTTTAAAAGGTCAGAGCATTTCTGTGTCACATGGGACTAGTCTGATCTACAAGTACTGTGGCTCTCATTAAAAGGTTATATATATATGAAATTCACGGCCACTAGATGTGACACTAGAGCACCTGCATCTCAGACCAAAACAATGGGCGCTACTGCCGATGTTTTAACACATTAAAAGGACCTCTGGGGCTAAATGGATTTGTTATTCGTGTAACAAGGTGGTGAACAAAACAGCTTTCAAACAGTATGCTACACCACCTGTCATGTTTTTACATATGGCATACACTAATTCAGTGCAACTATTGCTGTATTACAGAAAAAAGAAGGTTTGTCACAGTTTAATTAGGAAACCCTGCAAGCATAAATGCCATAATAAAAAAAAAAGAAAAAGATAGATCTAAATTACTGGACTACTCAGGAGACCCTATATATGTAGGGTCAATTACTGTAACGTCCCATCATCCAGTTATACTTTACTTACTTTTTATACTTAAAATTATACTTTATATTTTTTTTAAGTAGATGCATCTTTGAAACTAATAATAATAATAATTATAATAATAATAACATTTCATATAGTAAAATTAATACAATTATATAAAGCAATCTAATCAAATATTGAACAACAAAAATATGGTATTTATAAATAGCTTTGTTTGTCAAGTAAAAAAAAGAATCATCATTTAATTTCTTATCTGTAGTGTTACAATATCATTACGCGGATGACCACCTGGGAAGAAGCAAGGAAACAGTGCATTAACTTTGGAGGCAATCTAGTCTCGATCCCCACAAGGCGTGTGCAAGGTTTGTTCTACTGTTCATTCTTTTTTTTAATATTGTTTATAATTATGCATAATTGTGTACAATGTGAACAGAGCATGGAAGTTCATTAGGTTTAAACTTAAACGATCAATGTACTTTAAATTAAACCTTCATAAATAAGTTGGAAATTTTGCCAAAATAAGGAAAAAAGAAAGAAAAAATGACCTAACTTTTACCTTTGAAATTTTCAGCATTTTTGATCACCAAAATAGCTGAAGTAGCAACTACAGACCTGTGGATCGGTTTAAATAGTTTGAAACAAGATGGATTTTACTGGACTGATGGAAAACCAAGAAGATACACCAACTGGGGCTATTCTGTAAGTAAACACACGTACTACAGTAATTGTAAAGTGAAGCAAATAAACTGCAACATTAAAGAGCAACTTAACACCAGCTTTTATCTCAGTTGCAGTGATGTAGAAGTGTACTCCAGGGTGTCTCAGCACACTGTGACATCAACAGTGAAACACTGTTTTTTGGCTTGGTGTTGTGTTATTGTTTAATACAAATAAAAATGTTATTCATGTTACTATTTGGATTTAAAATATTGTTCTACTCTTTAGAAACAGCAACGTCGTCCTGGGTCCTTTTATCAAAGATGGAATGAGGTAACATTTCCAAGACTTATTTCGAATTAAAATACCACTCCTGTTAGTTACAACAGACAAGTATTTTGCTATCAAACATCAAAGAGTTAGTCATCAAGTCAACCAATCAATCAATGACCACTTTAAGTTTAAACCAGTTAGCATTAGTTTTAAACTGTGATGCCAAATCCTCACCACTCCAAATTTCCTTCCTCAGGAAGAGTGTGTTGCGATAAGCAGGAGTCCTACCATTGGTAAATGGTGGATTAAGTCCTGTAATGAAACCAATGGAGCGGTCTGTGTTCGAAATGTTGGTGAGTTCATCCTTTTTCTCTTTTAGAAATACTCTAAGGCTTAAAAAGGATTAATGCAATTTGTTTATTTAAGTACCACATGTCTTATATTAAAGCCCCATATTATAATTTGCCCCATTCTGTCCAAACAGTGTTCTTTGTAATAAAAAATGTTAACAGTAATATAAAGACTAAAAGAAATGGGTTAAATCTTACAAAATTAAGCTACAGTTCCTGTGACAGTACTTACTATGTCTGTAATAATGAAAAAAAACAACAACAATAAATTGATATAATCTCTTCTCTCAACAGACTCAAATATCGTACCTCAACCAGAGAAACCAACCGACATCTACGTAAAGCTGGGAAATGACAGCATCAAGCTTGTGACTAAAAATCTGACCTGGGAGGATGCACAGAAACACTGTGAAGGTGATAAAGCCAAACTGGCATCCCTGAGAAATGAGTGGACACAGGCCTATGTCGAGCTGCTGACGATGAATCTCAAAGCTCCTGTTTGGATTGGACTGAACAAACAGAAGGTACAGGGCTACGACCATCCAATGTTACTGTACTGAAACACAAAAACTCCTGTAAACTAGTTCCAGGGAAAGAAAAACTTAAAACTTAATAATATTGTAAAATAAAAGTCAGATATTATTACAAATGCACTGTAAATAATGAATAATAATAATAATAATAATAAAAATTAATTAACTTTATCAATACATGAAACGTAGATCTCTCACAAGGTAGCTGACCAGCTACTCTTGTACCAGAGGTGTTTAATCTATTTGGCAAAGTAGTAGTAGCAGTATTTTAAAAAGCCATCCAAATGTTGGATTTTATTAGCATGCTGCATTAATTATTAATTACTTATTTTTAATATGAATGCATTTGATCTTGCTTTCAGACAAACGGTTATTTTAGGTATATTGATGGCTGGCAGATGACCTTTGTCAGCTGGGCTCAAGGCGAACCAAGCAAAGACCAACCTTGTGTGTACATAGATGTGGATGGACAATGGAGGACTGCTTTCTGCAATCGGACCATGAACAGTGTTTGCATGCAGACTACAGGTATGATAATGTGTCAACCTCTGTAAGTCTAAGTTATTATACTGTAAATGCTGTAATTATGTCTTTGGCATACAATGTAGGTAGTTCTATATGACTGAACTATACTGATTAGTGTATAATCACCTGAAAATGAGAATTGTTGCAATCAAATGCAGTTTTCAGTTAACCCAACGGGCTTTTAAAATGATTATTTAGCTATATAAGGAGATTATTTCTCTCAAGCCATAAAGAAATACCTAATCCTTCAGTTCATCTAAAAAACTCACAATCAAATTAGGAGATGCATGGTTTTCACTGGATAGAGAATTCAGTGGACATTGCCGACAACTCCATTAGTGCAACTTTTTTTTTTGCCTTATACACATCTTGATCCATTAAAGAAATTCATGAGCACTAACTTTGTGATACAATAGATCCCTACTATATAAAGGTTTTGGGTTACTGTACTGAATGTCACAGTAGGACAATTTGTAACTCATCCTCAACTCTGTCACTCACAGAAGTGCCACCAACAGAGTCAACCAGCTACCCGGGAGTTTGCCCTGAAGAGACAAATGTGGAGTACCACCAGAGTTATTCCTGGCTTCCATTCAAGGGTCATTGTTATTTGTTTGTCACAGAGGAAATTGAATGGCCAGACGCAGCTAGTAGCTGTGTCAGGCATGGTAAGAGACACTCCAGAGAAAATTGGTCACCTAGTAATATGTTTGGTCATTTTTACAACCAGATTGTTTTGTTTTTCTTTTCTTGTGAAGGTGGAATACTGGCCAGCATCCAAGATCCTAGTGAGCAACAATTCATTAAAAGCAATGTGGAAATATTTCAAGACAGCCACCGCTCTTTCTGGATCGGCCTCTATAAAACCCACAGAGGTATGATTACAGTTATGAAAAAGTATCTAAGGAAAAACTGTACTTAAAAGTCCCCTGTGCAGTTCTCTTGCACATTCATTGTTCCCCACCAAAATGCATTGATCTAACAAACCTGCTGGATACATGTTTACAGCTACGTATGTTGGCTAGCAGTCTTCTTTACTGCTTTCGCTGGTGCACTGCTGTGTATCTAACCACATTGCACATTACCAGCCCAAAATACTTACTGGCTCAAAATCACTGTTTCAGTATTAATTGTGTTCATCAGACGTCCTTTATTTTTGTTTCTTGGTTTACTCTTCATATGCACCTTGACAGTAGGCAGGGCAAATAACAGCTACATAATCAGACGGTTATCTGGCAAACTAAGTGAAAATAGTAATGCCCTGAGTTTCTGTTGTTCTGCATTAGGAACATGGCAGTGGTTGGATAGAACAGTCTTGGACTACACCAACTGGGATACAGATGTGCCCGAGTATGATTATGGGGAGATCGGAACCTTAGATGGGATGTGGAGGTCCGGTCGCGGATGGCACGACAGAGCATACGTCTGCAAAACACCCAAAGGTAGTTTGAAAACATGGTCTTGTAATGAGCATGTAGCTTGTTCATAAATCTGGAGTAAGAGGGAGCCATACTGTGTTGAAGGTACATTTTCCTAAAAAAATGAATGGAGGGGGTGTAAATAATGTTATTAATCTGGTCATTATCACTCTACACCCTGCAAAAATTGCAAAAGTTTTAACGTCATCAACCCTTGTAAACTTATTTATAAGGTGTCAAACTACTACCTCAGAAATTTGTATTGCAATAAACTACCAATCTACAACTACCATTACGTTAAAGTTTGTTATTCAGTGAGTAAAACATATCCTTAGTCAGACTGCGATCTTGTGACTGTCGTAATTAAGAACATTTGGTCATTAAATAAAAAAACTCTGTATATTGGAGGATAAGGATTGGTGTCCTGCTATTTTACATGTGCCCTGCTGAAAATGATTAATACACGATGATCAATACCAAGGATACAGCTGGAGCTAATAAAACATTTATATTCCTCAGAGAAATTATTTATCTGAGCATTTTGTTTTTTCCCCAACAGTGATGCCCACTGATCCATGGTCAAAACCTGGTAAGTTACATCTTTAAATGTCCTTAAGTCGTCGAATCATTGAATAATCATAATATTTGTAAAAATACTACATGTAATACAAAATGTGTTATACAATAATAAAATTAATAATAAAAAAATAAATAAATCACTACAATCACCTATCACCTAAAGTTACATTTTGGTTTGAATTGTTTGACTGATTGCTTGCCGACTTTTGTGCAGAGCCTCACGGAGGGCAGGATCCCCGCAGTCGTGTCCACACGAGTTTGATAGTCATGCTGATCATTACTCTCGTTTCTACGCTGATGGTCATTGCATTCTTCGTCTACAAGAGGTCTCCTCGTCCCTTACCCACGTTTGACAATCCACTCTACTTCGACAGTGAACGATCCCAGCCCGATGTGGTCGATACCAATAAACTGATAGAGAATGCAGAGGTGGAAAACCCTGAGCCTATTTTAACTATTTGATTTACAAAGTTCAATTCAATTTATTTTGTATAG